GCAGTCTTTAAGAAAGCATTAGGTTCTGTATAACGTGAGAGGGAAATGGATCTTTCAGATGGCAGATTCCAACATACTACATAGCAGTATTAAAGTAAAATGAGAGTACCACTCAAATAAAAAAATTCCTAGTTGTCAAAAATGAATTTTCTGTATCTGTGTTCTGAGAAGAAGAACTGTCAAGAAAACAGAAGGATGGAGCTAAAACTTGTGATCAAACTGAAACATTATCATGAAAAGCAAATTATTCTCCTTGTCATTACATGTTACAAACAGGGAGTGATGACTTGCCTTCCATGAAAAATCTTAGCTCAAACTAGTAGAATCACAATGGTCTGTAACAGAGACACAAAGCATAGCAAAGGGGTGATTTGTCATTAATGTTTTTGCTAGAATGATTTCTCTCCTCCAGCAGCTTGTATTTCAGATAGTGTCTGTAATTTCGGATGAGCTTTTTTTCATGTTATGACGCAATACCATTTTAAGGCTGTGTAAATTCACAGTATCAACAAAAAGGAATTTCACATTTTTACTGCTTTACCTAATTGTGTGACTTGCAGTTGACTCCTTTGTTTTAAGCCTGCCTCCTCTTAATTTTAGTTGATGGCCTCTACTTCTTATACTGGAAGAGACAGTGAACAGTCTTTCCCTATTAACCGTTTCTTAGCCACCCTCTAATTTCCAGGTTAAGGAATTCTAGTGATATTCAATTATTCATCGTATGACTTTTCTCATGCCTAATTCGTATTGCCCTTCTCAGGGCATTTTCCAATTCTTGTCTATTCCCTGTAAGGTAAAGAAATCAGAATTGGTTTTGGTATTTAAGCTCTAAGTTCATAATGGATTTATAATGATTTTATCCAGAAAGCCCTGGTAAGAATAGGCATCAGTGAAACGTATGTATGAAGGCCAAGAAAAACGTTTTTATTTTCTTCTGCCGAGCAATGAAAGGGTGTCACAACCTTGAGTTTTTCTTTCAATCCTGGTGCTTTGGAAGCTATTTTTAAAATTTAAGTGTAATATGATAAACTGTATTGATCTGAACTTGCTTACATTTAGAATATTTTTATATTTCTTTTTTTTTAACAAGGACAGGAGAGAAACAAGATAAAAAAAAATCAGTTTCAATTTGACTAGGTAGGTCTAGTATTTCCAAGATACTCATTAGAAATTACTGAAGATCTTTTCATCATTTCCAGATACTCACTGATAACTAAATAATACATACCTTTTCTTTTAGCCTACCAGTTATAAAAGTTAATTCTCTCCACAGTGAGGGAATGGGAACTAAGCAGAGATGAGGTGATTCCCCTAACATACAATCAGATTTTAAAATGCCTATCCTGAGCTGTATTAATTTGCCCCAGAATGTACAGAATTGTTCTGTATGTTTTGTACCTCCTGTATTTTCTCAGATTAAATTCTTGCCCAAACTAAAAATTGACAGGATCACATGAAGTACTGGAAATGTAGGCCCTAGTTACTATTAGTCCTTCAGATTCAAAATGTCTGCTGATCAATCATCAGCAGAAATCTTTTATTTTAGAATGATTTTGTAAGCGCAAGAAACAGCTGCATAAGGGACAATGGTGCTGCAATAACTTTTGTTTTCTCATCAGAAAAATGTATTAAACATAATAAGAAGAAATGCTTAAGGATTTGTTTTAGTGTGTGGACATTTAGTTTTGTGTTTGGTACAGCTATAAATGGTCAGACTATTAGATGATCACCAGTTTTCTCATGAACTGGTAAAGAAAGCTGGATCTCTGATCAGATCGAGAAAATCTCTATTTAAAAAGTTGTTGAGTATGTCTTGTGATACCATTCAGGTTAAGACCCTCACCTTCTTCTCATGTGTCATCTCTGTATTTATCACAATTTGTTGAATTCAGTCTTTAGTATTTTCTTAGCACTTTTTCATAACAAGTCTTGTTCAAGCTCTTTCTTTTTAGAATTGCTTACACTCCTCACAAGTGATCTCTATGACAGACACATTTTCATATACAAATCTGTATTGCATCATACCAACTGTAAATATGGCTAGGATGGGTTTTACACCAAACCTGTTCTGCAAAGATAAATCGTATCCAAAATTTCTTCAGGGTAACCTAAACTTTTATGTACCCCAGCCTCATCAAACTGACCATTGATTTTTCTTTCCTTGTAATTGTCACCGATACAAAAAGTTATTCCTGGAACTATTATGCTGCTCATTAACTCAGTTCACTAGGGCATTAATAATAATCATGTTTGAGTACAGTGGGGTTGTATTGATTCCTTTCTTCTACTTGGTCTTGGTACTTGAGTACCAAGGTTCAGGTATCTTCTCTGTCTCATAAGGTTATATCAAGTAGGCTATTTTGGAAAATATGAACTAAGTGAATGTATTACAAAAGCAAAATTAGACAACAAACACAGTTCTTTAATGTTGAAAATTGATCCCTACAATAAAGCAAGGTATTGCTCAAGTAAAGTCGATCAACGTACTAAATATATGGGGATATATTCAAAAGTTGTTCAGTAGTGGTGAGGTCACTAAACAGGAATAAAAGCTAGTAAGCTCATGAAAAGACACTAGCTAATGTTTACACTCTAAATTTTGTAAGAAATACTCTAAAAAGCTATGACTTCTTTCTTGATCTTTAAAAGTTTATGTCAGTTCAGTTGAAGTATTCAATTTATTAGTTAAAGAAAAAGCACAGTGTTCTTGCTTAGGCAATATACCTGTGCTAATTCTTTCCACAAATGGATGCAACTTAGGTCACGGGTGTGGAAGGACTGGTAGAACCAGCTTTTCTTTGCTTTAGACTAAAACTTACAGTGCTTCATATTCGAGATCATCCTCTACAAACCATGTTCACCTAACACACAAGCATATAAACCTTTTCCCAGTCTTGTATAAATTATAAATTATCTAGTGTTTTCAGTGTTGTTGGGTATTTTTCTCTCTCTTTTTCTGCATAGACTATTCTGTAGTCAAGATATGGCCCTCAGCCAAAGAGAAAATGTTAAAATAGAATCCAACTGTTGAAATAACTACACCTCTTCAGTTCATGGTTCTTAAAATATATATAAGTGACCTTCCATATTTCAAGAGTAGAAATGTCACGCTGGAGTTTATTCCTCTCTCTTTAAAAAAAACCGGTGTTCGTTTTAGCTCCTCTTTTACCAGACGTTAAACACTGTAAACAAAACACTCAATAGACTCAAATCAGCAGTAATAGAATGTGGTTCATAGGAGCTGTTATAATTAAAGTCTTGTACACAAAGATTTCTTGGAGTTACAAAGACAGTCTTGTTTTGTATATAAGTTTCATGTACGGCTTTTTCATTAAAGTGAAAGTACACTGTTGATAAAGATAGATGTTTTTCTAAGAATTAGGTGTTGGCTGTATTAATGTTTACAGAAATTTTGCTCATGACATTTTCTAGGGCTTTCACTAAAACTCTCATCGTTCATTTAGAATGCTTTCCAGTTAGTCTGGTATACCAAAAAACAGTCTGTAAGTGTTGGACTTAATTTCTGTAAGTATTTTTTTTCTAATCTTAAAAAAATAATAAAATATTTTTTTAAACTACCTTTTTTTTTGTTTCCCCAGCTTTCTGAAAGGGAAATTAACTTTCTTTAAATTTTTGACAGCACCGGAGTTAATTTTCTCACTGAATCACAGCTGAAAAGTACCAGAATAGCAACAGGCCAGCTTGCTGACCCACCAAATGCCAGCCTCAGCTATGAGGTTCACAAGACTCATTTATATATCAGTACCATTGTCACCTTTGAAATACATAAAAGCTCAAAGGCAGGTTCTTTACAAACTGAATGTATCAAGTGATGTCTTACCTGAACTGCCTGATTCATCTAGCAAGCATATTTTACTTCACTGTTCATAAGATTTATTTTTTTTACATGAGAAATCTAGCAGGGACACAAGCTGCAGCTCTTTGTTGTGCAAATAATGCCTATTTATTCAAGACACTGCACTAAGCATATGTTTCCCAAACAACATTATTATAAAAACATGAATGAAAAGCATGCTGCCTATATTAAAATATTATGAAGCGTAAAATTCTCTGTATGTTACCTATTACAATGGTGTACAAATGCTGTAACAGGTAGTTTAGTGGTAGCTATGAATCCTGGCAATACCAATGCCAGGTAAGTTCAATTTACTGTATACAGTCTTTGCAGGATACAGCAGACCTTAATTTGTACATTTAAGGAGATCTTGGTCAATTCTAAGAGGATAAGTGTTGATTGAAGTTGCATGTTTTGTATTAGCTGAAGTATTCACTTCACTTGTTTTGTTGGCTCGAAACAGAGGACACCTGTGAAAACAAAAGGAGAGTGCACATGTAGGTCAGATACACTGAATCCTACATAGTAACCTACAGTTGGAATGTGGACACAAAACATGTATCTGCTGTACTATTCAGAAAGTCTATTGGGTTTTTTTTAATGTAGAAAGTACATCCTTCTTTGCAGGAAATTGTCATAACTAATTAATTTCAAGAGTCTTGCTATTGTGGGGGGGGTTTCTAGTGTTACAGGTGTTTTACATGCTACATTTGTAACCTGCCCTTGCATCAGCTTTGACGATTGCACTGGGACCATTGGTAGCCGTGTATGAATTGACCTGATGTTGGTGGTTAGTCCTGGCATCCTGAAACAGGGAATCATAAACCTGAGGTTGAGCATGAGCTGCGGGGTAGTATAGAGAAGCTTGCACTGCTGCTATAGCAATGGTCAGCTTTGCACGGCACTTAAAAGCATTTACACAACTTCAAAATGTAAAACACAATTAGACAATAGTTCCTTCCTCCCCTCACTCTAAAAAATATTTCTTTTTAATCCATCTTCTGTCACCTAGTTATGATCTTTGATCAGGCAGCATGTCTAATGACAAACTTCTAAAACTATGTGGAGTGGCCTTGTCTCTCAAAAATCCTAACAAACAAGGTTCCTTGATTTCCTGTTTCAGAATCACACAGATAATTACTGCCTAAACAAAGATTAATTAATTCATTTGCTCTTTCTACATGAATAAATGTGTGCTACCTAGTAAATATTAATGAAACCATGTCAATGAAGCTCTAAGAAATTTGTGGCACTATGCAACAGGAAATCCTAAAATACTTGGATTTTGTAAAAGGACTAAAAAGTAACAAAGTAGTAAACTTCTGCTTTCAAAAACAAGGGCCTTCCTCTGTCAGAGCTGCCCAAATTTGCCTGCTGCATCCATGAAAGCTGTTCATTCAATGAAGGTCAAAGGTTTTGTTGTTGGTGAACCAGCTGATGATCTGTAAGCCTGTCGGGCTGTATTGCTGAGCATAACAAACTGCTGTGCATTGCTGACGTGCGTCACAGGACCCTGGGGTTTTGCACGGGGATTAGTCAGGCTGTATTTGGAAACGCCCTCAACTGCACCCTATGCTGCTATATCAGTGTGTCTCAAGCAAGAGGAATTTTCTTTTGCTTCTGCAGCTGCTCCTGCAAAACCCTCTGGTAAGTGAGAGCAGCTTCTGTCAGCAGTATCAACTTTGTCTTCTTGCCTGTGTTTTTAAGCCAAGGTTATGAGCTGGGGGCTTAAAGTTGTTAATTGTGAATGTGAAAAAACCTAAAAAACTGTGTTTTTAAATTAAAATTTGATAGCATAGAATGAGCAACAGCATCAAAGGAATAAGTGTACTTAGTGGGTTTCATTGAATAGGTTAATTCAACTTAAATGTTTCTCTGCTTTTCAGTATGCATCAGACTGTTCTGAAGCGTTGGTATTTTCACAGTACATTTCACAGATGTCACTATGTACCATGCATGTTGGCTTTATACAGCAGGAATAGAAAGATCACATAATATAGCAGACCAATTCTTAAAAGGATTTGGTTGGTTTTTGTTGGCAGCCTGCATGCAAGCCCTGCATCTCTGGACTCTGCTTGCCACCTATGCTGTTGCAGTAGGACAAAATCAAGGACAGAAGAATCAGGAGTGCCCTAAGCTCAACGCACAGGTACTCGCCTTTAAAAACACAAGAGGAAACACTGTTGTTGTGTTTTCTGTGAAAGCGCTCTCTGGATTTTTGTAAGGGTTTTTTTCCAAATTAAGTATCAGAACCCAGCACATAAAGTATAAAAAGATGTAAATAAATAAAGTAAACCAGGAAAATTTATTTTTAGTGTGCATCCTATTCCATGTCTTAAAATAGTTTAGGCAGTGAACCCATGTTCAGTTACTTCATATAACCTGTGCTGGGTATCTAGTTTTACAGCATGTTATCAAGCAATTGTGAAGATACTTAGTGTTCTTTTGTTTCATTTCCATAATAACTACGTTTTAGCTAAGTAGTCCTAAAGCTATTTCTTGGCAGAACTACTAAAATAGTAATTTGGTAATTAATAGTTACTAAGGATTCCTTACCATATTTGAGCTTGCATCATCTGAATATACAATGTATTATGGTTTTGGGAATTATATATTAGTGAGTCTCTGTCCTGAACTCAGATTATGCTGGCAGACTGCCCTAAAACTAGTGAAGTTCTCCTAACTACCTGCACTTAATGGAGTGACTGATGTGATTACACTCATGTCCAGTACCCTTTGATGTTCCTGTATAAAAATAAGCCTAGTAACAACTAAGAGAAACCTCTGTTGCACTCATGGGCCAGAATTCAAATTGTCTGAATTGCAGGCAGTCTTGCTTTATACATATATGAGCATAAACATATGGAGGAAAAGATCCCCACAGTATCATTCTATGGATTTTGTTATGGCTCCCCCATTTCTTGCTACTCTAATGTTGCAGAAATTACATGGAGAAGCTTGTATGCTTTTCAGAAGTTTTTTGTTTTGTTTTCTAGAGAAGTAATAAGGGGGGGGGGAGGAAAATAACATGTAAATTAAGGAGTGTGCCCCATTTCTTTATGTTTTCACCAAACTGTTACTTTCTTCCACCAAGAACACCAAAACCAGTTTTCTGTAGCTTCTGGGTACCAAATTTCACAGCTATCACTGCTGCCAGGCCCTGCCTTTTTTGGTACATCCATAAGTTAATATATGTGATAGCTAGTCTAAGACCTTGAAATTGGAAATCTGCAGTTCCCAAAATAAAGGTCATTTAGTCTTGGTTTATACTCTCTTACCTGGAGGCTGTCACCATAGATTAGAATAAAATTTACAAATAATTTGCCCCTATCCAATTTATGACTTTGATTTCCATTTACCTTGCTCAGAAATAACATGGATAGTTCTCTCTCACTGCCATCCACCCTTGTGTGTTCTCTCTATCAAAAGATAACAGGTTTGAAACCTAGTCTAGGTTTGAAACCTAGGCAGGTTTACCAAAAAAGTAGGAAAATAGAAATTGTGTTATACTTGAAATTCACATACTGTCAATAGCATTATAGCAACATCTGTATTTAGATCTTATTTATTGCCCTATCCATTTTATGACATTAAGATAATCTGAAATTTAGTGGAATATTTTTAATACACTTGCAAGTGTGAGAACAGTTCTTACTGTGATTCAGAATTACTGGCATCTAACAAAGTACTCTGTCAATCATTGAGATTTATAGAAAAGTTATCTTAAAATTTTGTCTACCCATAATCCAGGGTGTTTTCTTAGCAATGATTTGGGTTTGGGGAGGCTTCCATACTAGATGAGTCTTTATAAAATAAGGAAACTTGGTATCTGCCAAGTAGTATAGGCTTACAGGATATCAGTATAAAAATACTCTGCACCGGTTTTTTACATCCTTTGTCAAAGAAGTATTGCTTAGCAGACTTATGATGACAACCTCCTACAGTTTAAGTTATTACTAGTAATATTTCAGGCTCTGTGTTTAGAGTTGATTGTGAAATGAGCCATATCTCTATGTATTTAAGATAGCAAGTAATTCATCAACTCATCCTTCCCTATTTAAAATTACTGGGAGTGAAAACAAAAGATCACTCAGTTGTCTTTTATATGGAGTTTTTTATCTGACATTTTTTAATTTTTGTGTTAATCATTGGGACTTGTTTACTGAGTAGGGGGAGGAAAGCAACTGCTCTACCTCCAACACTCAGTGGATTGAAAAATTCAGTATAATACTAGCTCCAGAACATGACATTACTCCTTGTGGAGTAATCAGCTATTAATTTCCTGGGATACCTAATTGGAAATGCCTACAATGGCAGCTGTAAATTCACTTAGATCGCTAAAATGAATGACCGACCTTATCACCAGCTCTAGTTTTATAATCAAATTGACACAGCATGCACTTAGATACACGCTGCCTTACATACTAAGAAGACAACTTATGTACTATGTGGCACCTGGATACATAAAAGCAGTTCTGTTTGCAATTCTGTTATCCAGTTGTATATAAAAAATTTCATTTCAAAACTAGAATTTATTATGGTCTTTATGGCAAATACTTCTCTGTATTTAACCCAGTTACATAGATGCATGTCTCATGTACTAAATAGATTTGTAATTCTCAGAACTATCCTTGTTGTAAATGACCCATTCTGTGGTTTGTAGGACTGGGGGATTTCCAAACTTGCGTGAATCCATTACTGTTCATTCCTCAAGGTATGACCATAACGTTCTTAGCTACAAAATAATTTCCTGCATCCTTATTCCAGTTACCTGCTGTCACGAACAAGAAGATAATTTTTTTCCGTTTCAAAATCCAATTAAACTCAACCTTTAAAATAATCTTTTTCAGTTTTGTTCTTCCTTCTCTCAAAGGCTCATTAAAAATGTCAGACTAGAAACTAAAATGTATTTGTGGCCAGTGTATATGCCAACCACAAATTACCTTTGGGAGTTGTCATACATATGCTTTAAGACACACCAGCCTCTGAGCTATTCAGTAGCATACAGATGCTCTTGGTAAGAAAGCAAAACTCTTCTCACACTTTTATAATATGACAGAATAAATAGGAGTACTTAAGTGATTTAATATGATGTACTTTCCCATTTCACAATGAATTATGAATTCCTTTTCTTTTGCTTATATAGTGCTAGTTCTGTATGTAGAAGCTCCTGATTCTGAAAAGCTTGCTTGACTTGGTTAAGTGCTGTGGAGATTTTTGGTTGGCTGCGTCTCTATCTGTGCTCATCCTAGTCAACTGGTGCATTAGAATTTTGTGAGATTTATGTGCACACTGAGTTGACTGTTAGAATTTTCTTAAACAGTAAATAGAAACACAAATTTCATCAAATTGACTGAACTTTTCACTCTTTGCTCTTTCATCTGTCTTAACAGTTCCTTCCAACTAGAATCTGCTTTTTTCTTTCAACTGCAAAGAATGATAAATATGCAACAATGAAACAGCAGCTAAACTGGGCAGAAGTGTAAAACATTGGAGCAGACAGTTTGCCAGAAAACTGGTGGCTGCAATTTCAGTTTCATTTACCGTTCCTTAGACAGTTTCATTTACTTCTACTATAATAATGATAAAGACAAAATAAAATAATTGCTACTTAATGTTCAGTTGCAAATATTAATACAAGGAACTAGCAGTGGGAGAAGTGGCTATTTTATCTAGCTGTATTTGTCTGAGGCTTTATCAGATGTCACATCCATAACGTAGACTTGTTTTTTCCTCTGAAAGTGCCTGTGAGACTGAAAATGTCTGGGTTATGCTTGCTGCAGAAGACTTTCCCCCACCCCTAAATTAAAATACTCTTTAACCAATTTGTGTGCAAAAATAGAAATAAATTAATCTTAAAAACTCATCTTAAGTAGAAGTTTACAACATCAAAGCAGGAAGCTATCATCATACTTAAAATATAAAGCAATGTCTTGTTTAACATGATCTACTAAAGTGTTTACCAAGATTTTTGCTCAGGTTGTTTCAGAAACTTACAAAAGGGCACAGTCTGAAATAAAGCAGTACCAAACAATCCAATTTTCCTCATCCAGTCCCTTCCTCTGATCTCTCTATCTACCCCAACATCTGTTTAAATTAATTATATTAGGAAATCTGTTGCTTAGTATGTAAGTAAACTAAATAATGCTTGAACTACTACTTAGAAAAGCATGCATTTAGATTTCACTGTTTAATTTTTGCATTCCAAATCTAAAAATACATATATAATTTGCTGAATGTTAAAGGAATTAGATTAGTCAATTTACAGTAGAAAAATTTCCAAACCCAGTCAAAGTAAATGTCCAAAGTCAAAGCACTTTGTGTTTCATTATAAAGAATATTGTATATGCAGAAAAAAGTGGAAAGCTTACTTTTTTTTACCAGCACCATATAACATACAAAAGAAATACCATAAAACACCTTTAAAGTGTTACAGATTATTAATATTTTGTTTTGTGAAGCTAGATGTGCTGCTAATTGTGAATAAAGAAATGCTTTGTAAAGGTACATCTCCAAAGATTGGTGAATTCTTTAATGGATTTTTTCAGGAATTCTATTTCTTGTCAACACTCATTAGCTTTCTCAATTACTCCCTGCCTAGGAAGTAGCTCAGAGCTGGAAGTCAGTCCTAATGTACTTTTTGTGACTTTGCTGTGCTTAAAGAAATACTAGCAAGGCACTGCAACAACACTCAGAGATACTGGCTTAGGAGATACCACTTTTACAGAAAATGTCTTTTCCAAAGGATCGGAAAGGAAAACTTTAATTCTTCTAATCGAAGTGAAATTAATACAGTTTGTTTCTTTATGAGATTTATAAAGCACAGAAGTAATGAATACCCTGTTCAGGACAGAATTTTTGACAAGATACTGTGGTATAGGTGAAACGTTTTGAATGGGTAGAAAAACTTGGAAATTTTATCAGAGACTCATGATTACGGTTCTAGAAGGATTTCTGTTTTCAGAAGTGTTTTTGAGGATATCAGCCAGAAAGTAGCAGTAAGCACAGTGGGAATTAGAATTATTTATTATACGGAAAGATAGAAGCACTGACACGGAAGAAAGGATACAATCCAAAAAGATTAAAAATAAAATTTAACATTTTGCACAAATACCTGTTTCTTTCTAGGAGTAATTTTGAAGAATATTTGGTGATTACCAACTGAATTTGAATCGTTCTCACCATATCACTACTAACACAGGGCATGTATTTTAATGTACATGCAAAGATGCTACCTGAAGACAAGGGCCAAAGTGGCCCTTCAGCCGAGGCCTTATCAGAGCAGAGCAGAAAATCATGGATGCTATGTTGGAAGAACAATATGGTTCAAGCGGGTGGGTCAAGACAACATCAAGAAATATCAGAGATTTGGAAAATTGTGTTCTTCAAAAGAAGATTGAAGAATACTGGGGTTTTACATTCAGGCAGAAGGGAAAAATTTATCCAGTGAGCGTCTGAGAAAAAGAACACTTTTCTCCAAGTTCAATGACTTAAAATTACAAGGAAGATGAGACATTAAGCAAACTTTTCTAAACATAAAGGTGATTGAGGAAAGTGACGAATATGTGAGTGGGGGTTTTGAAGAATGAGTTAGACGAGCCTCTGCTCATCTGATAAGAATGTAGCTGCAATATTTTGCTCCCATCTGAGAACAGAGTAGACGAGCTGATATTTCAAGGTATGTCTGGATCCTTCTTGTGTCTGGCACACGTGTCTTTTCCCTTACAAAAACATACTTTAAAATGCCACCTTTTTCTTATGCGATAACCAAATTGCAATTTAACTGCAAGTTAAAGTTAAAGTTGACTGCTACTAATGAAAAAAAGACTTACTAGCATCAAGAGCTGGAAGAAAGAGTTCTGCATGACTTACTGACAATTGGTGATATGAGAACTCTGGGTCTAGAAATGTCCTGAAATAGAACAGCCTCCCTACCTTTCTTTTTTAAATTAGCTTATTGCAACAAAGATTACATGCTAGCTGTAAGAAGAGGAATATTGAAGGATCAAAATGTTAAAAATGTAATTCCTAACATTTTATCATCTCTGAAGTTTTATAAACAGAAAATAAAGCTTACTACTCATAAATGTCCATTTAGACAGATTGCAAATGTCCGATGCCTTTTTTTTAGAATGGGTCTGTACATGATTATAAAGGAAATAAATTCATGCTACATTGGGAAATTTCTGTAAATAAATAGTTCTTTTACCATTGTGCAAGTTTGAGGAGTAAACAAAGGCTTAGGAAACTGTTTGGGGAAGAATGGAGTTTTGTGGGTTTGGGGGGCTTTTTTCTTGTTTTGCACCAAATTCAGCATTTATCATAACATTCAAGAAATATCCAATCCAAAAGGAATATATAGTGTGATATCATGTGTTATTTCAAAAGTATGCAGTGAAATAGGTAATGGTAGCAATTGATGGACTGGCTAGGGAGGAGGGATTACTGCACAGCCTTGTTGTATTGAAGGACTCAGTTAACGTTCATGCATTCTCAAGGACACTGGATGTCTTCTTTATCTCTGATGTACTTAAAGGGCATATTAATTGCAAAGAGAGTTAGTTGTAAGATTTACCATCTCCTAGTGGCATATCTGAATCACAAGATAATCCTGTATGTCCTGTTAATATATATCTCCCTTTTTTCCTACAAATATAATCACCTTTTCTGTGAGTGTCAACTTACTGAATAATGTGATATTAAGAAAGGAAATGAAAACAGATGTTGTAAGCAAACAGAACAGTATGCAGCCATTGATTAACATATCCAGAGTATTTGCTGTTTCTTCTTACTCTTGTCTTTCTGTCCTGACCATGTCTTGATGTCATGACATCTGTTTATAGATGCAGAGCTTCCAATCTGATGGATAGCAGCTATTGGCTAGTAAGTTTTCTTCTGCAAGTGTATTTATGTCTTTGTTCTTACTCTTCATAGATGCCAGAATTTCAGAAGAAGACTGTCCATATTAAGGACCCAGCAAGAGTAGAGGAGATTATTTGTGGCCTCATCAAAGGTGGAGCTGCCAAACTTCAGGTAAAGGTGTAACCAGTTTGAAATAAAAGCAGATGTGGGATTGTTACTCTATGCCAAAACATTTAAGCATATCTATATATATGTAATAAAATTCAACCTTCAAGTAATCTCCAAAACTTAGACATGTTAACTCTTTTAATAGTCCTTGTTGATTCTACTGTAATTCAGCCAAACACTAGTTAAGTAAATGACATAATCATAGAAGCTTAGTAATTTCAGGAAATATTCTCACCAAAGCAATGAGAAAAACAGTTTTGTTAGAAAAAATGTTACTCTTCTGGGATATGCTAGCTTCTGTGACAATGGCTTAATAGAATAGGGAGGCTTCTGTGACACACACAGCTGCAGCTATTGTTTATCATTCAGAATTTCTAGCCATTCTCTATTTTGTTCCTCCATGTTGTAAGACAGTTTTGCTTTTTCTTTCCTTAAATAGATTATTACAGATTTTGATATGACATTAAGTAGATTTTCCTACAATGGAAAAAGATGTCCAACTTGTCATAGTGAGTACTTTTTTTTTTAATACAGATTGATTTGTTCACTCCTTTTAGTTTTTCCTATATTTTAATTTTCTCTTCAGTTTATTTCCTAACGAGGTTTTATATTGACTTGTTACCTAATCTGTACATTCTACTGGCAAAGTATTCTAGTGACTGTGGTTTTTATGTGTATATATATTAATCAAAATCTGTGTAAATCAAATCACAGATTTAATTTGTGATTATTTAATTGTGATGAAATGCTTTAATTTAATCACAATTAAAGCATTAAGTTTTGAACTCTCAGATGTTAGTGGTTAAATATGGCATGGTTGACTTCTGTTTTTCAGGAGTCCATCATAGTCCTGACACCTGCAAGAACCAGATAGTAAACTCCTTAGAATTCTTGGCAATTTTATCCTTACACTGTAGTCCTTTGGAACAAACAATGAGAAATGGGAACTCTAAAACATTTAGGATGCCTTAGGATGATTTCAGAAACAATTGAATCTCAAGAAACAGATACAAAATCTTGTAACTGACCTTGTAATTCAGAGATGAAGGGAAGGGCATCTCTATGCTTATGAAGAAAATGTGCTTTTTACTGGTAAGAGAACTTCTGAGGAAGCATACTGGTATGTCACCAGACATTGTCATCTGTGCCATTTACAGTATTGTAGAGCAAAGTAAAAGAAACTTACCATTTTGTTTAACTCTCTTTTTTTTTTACCACTTTCCCAGACATCATTGATAACTCTAAGATCATCACAGATGAATGTCGGAAAAAGGTAAACAAAAACCCTACAAGCATTTGTTTTGTTGTACAGACATCTGTCATTATTCCCTGACAAGAATGTTATTTTGATTGCTTAGACAAAACACCAATGTGTTTTATGAAACACATTAAACATCTGATGGTTTTTTTCTTCAGTTATTGCAGCTGAAAGAAACCTATTATGCCATTGAAATTGATCCAGCTCTCACCATTGAAGAGAAATACCCATACATGGTAGAATGGTAAGAGACAACTGCTATTTTCAGATTGTATTAAGATTAGATTTAGTAAGTTTTTAAAAGCAAATTAATGGCATTACTTAGCTTTTAGCTATCACATTACCTGAATTAATCTCTTAAAGTTTTGTAGAAATGACTTTGTTTTGTTCTTAACCTGAATAAGCAAGATTAACCATACAGGATGCTTTTCATTGTGAAATTTTATGAAAGGTGAACCTTAGTAAGCAATATTCAACCCATTTTTTGTTTATGTTCTAGGTACCATAAATCTCATGCACTACTCATTGAACAAGGCTTACAGAAGGACAAGTTTGCAGAAATTGTAAGGGAATCTGATGTTATGCTGAAGTAAGTTCCTTTTGATTTGAACAATATCAATCTTTTTCAGAGCATTTTCTGTAGATTCTTCCTGAGTGTTGGGGAGAGGAAAAAAAAAGAAAACGGAAACTGAAAAAAAACCACTCATGTTCCTGAGAATGTGACACCTTAACATTGAGTCACATTGAGCTCTCCATGCTCCCACTTAATTGGTGTGTTGTGTCTAAATGCAGACAATAATCTCACTGTATAAAGCAGAGATCTGGAACTTTTTTTAGTCCCTTCTCTACCAGCTTAATTTCTGTAGAGTTTCATCCTCTTTAAATTGCACTGGTGATCCTTTTTTTTTAAGAGCAATATAAGATTTAACTTAATTCCTTTGAGAAACACTTGAGGAGCATGTTGTATTAAATATTGTTCTTCCTCTATGGATGAAGGCAAGTCTAAAAAACAGCAAAATCCATGTTTAAAATGTGCTGTGGCTTCTATCTAAAACTGTCTGTAAATTTTGGAATACCGAAACAGGATGTTAGAACTTAAATTGTGGAAGTATTTGTTTATAACACTGACTGAATCCCTATTTTTGTACAACAGACAAGCACCCTGACTCTGCCTGTTTCAATTCCTAAGTCCATGTTCATTGAATCGTCATCCACAAGCTAAAACTCTTTCCAGAACTTTCACAATACTTTTTTAAAATGTAAAATTCTACCACTGTATGTCTGTATGGAGAAAGCATATGGAGATAATATTATCTTGTTCCTGGAATACTATACATAGAGTACTGAATACTAAAAAAATTTCAGGAGAGAGCAACAATAAATGTTTTCCAGGTTTAAAAACAAAATTTGTTTTATAGTAATGACCCTATAGAAAGTCACATATTTAAGGGAGGAAGATTGAAAGGAAATGTACAGCCTGATAGTAGCTAGAGTGAGTTCTGGTAGCTGCCTACTTGTTCTGGAGTACTTAGGCAGGGGGAAGTGTTTTTAAATCTTTAAAACGTGATTAGATGTTTTGGGAGGAAAAATTATACAGACCAAGACTAAACAGCTTGGCGCAGCAGTTTCTTGCAAACAGCCTTTGTGTTGGGTTGATGGTTCTTGCTGACCTGAAAAGGTGAAGTAAAAGAAATGCAGTAAAGTTCTCAGGAAGTATTAGTTCTTTTCCAAAGATGATGTGATTGTCTCCTAAAAACTCAGACTTTTCTTGGCTTTCTTTATTTGAGATTTGATTTATATTTGCATTCTGTGTTGCAGAGAAGGGTATGAGAACTTCTTTGATAAGCTCAGTGAACATAATATTCCTGTGTTCATATTTTCTGCTGGGATTGGCGACATCCTTGAGGAAGTAATCCACCAAGCTGGGGTCTACCATTCTAATGTCAAAGTGGTTTCCAATTTCATGGATTTTGATGAAAATGTACGTATAACACATTCTTATCAAATATGCTTGATAAATACCATGCTGTTTGTGGTATTTAGTAGCTATTTATACACACTACAAAATAGATCTATAATATAGAGGCAGATAGATACAGATATATGCACTCCTCCAAGCAGGCAGAATCACTGTCTGCCTACTCTTAACTGTGCTGTCACAGTCGTGACATTATTCTAAATTAATTTATCTTGTTCATCATCACAGATTATGTAGTTCAATCTTGGCTCAACAGTAAAATCACCTCTTTCATTCTGGATTCTGTTCTACCTGAATGGTACCATAAATAACTTCAGCGTTTCTTTTTTCAATAGGGAATATTAAAAGGATTTAAAGGAGAATTGATTCACGTTTACAACAAACATGATGGCGCCTTGAAGAACACAGAGTACTTCAAACAGCTAAAAGACAACAGCAATATCATACTGTTGGGTGATTCTCAAGGAGATTTGAGTATGGCAGATGGAGTAGCAAATGTTGAGCACATTCTTAAGATTGGCTATCTCAATGATAAAGTAAGTAGTCTTACATAACCTTGTAGGCTTTGAATGAAACACTGGGAGTTAGAAAGAGGTTTGTTATAATATGATTGAGATATCAAACCAAGTGTTTAGCCTATATTTGGGTTGAAATTTCAAACGTTTTTCATGGATTTTTTCTAACCCATAAGCTCAGGGCCACAAGTATATATTGCCTTGGTTTTTGTACAGAACTACTTCCAAACAGGTGTTTCCTAGAGAAGTAAAATTCAAAGGCTATAAAAATTAATTCTCTTAAATTCCTGTGGGTCCTCCTTTCAGTACTCAGTTGATAATTGAGAAAAATTATAATAAATCCAGGCAGTCTCTCCTCTTTTCTTTTTACTTTTTGAGGCTTTTAAGTGACTCTCAACTGATTATTTAATAAGTTATAATGAACGTCCATTTGCATTGAGGAGAGAAAAATCTTCAGTTTTATACTACTCCCTGCCTTTCCAAAAGTAGTTCTTCTTTCAGTATCTCTATGTGTGAGATCCTGGAATAAACATGAGGTATTATATCCTGGAATGCACTTTAGGTCAGGCCACTCCTACTCTGCCTGTGGAATTCACGTGTAGGAGTGATACATTGTTTGCATGGCTTATTCCCAAAATTTGGTGAAAAGATTGATCAATATTTTAGTGACAAAAACTATTTTAATAATTAATTCTATAACTAAGGGGGTCTTTCTTTTTATTCCTTCTGCAATTAGGTAGATGAGCTTTTGGAAAAATACATGGACTCTTATGATATTGTCTTGGTGAAAGATGAATCCCTGGAAGTTGCCAACTCCATTCTACAGAAAATCCTGTAAATTGCAGTCTCAAGTCACTCCATTCCTTCCAGGAAGCAACTGGACAGAAGAGCACACATGTGCTATCTTAGATGTGTTTATTACTCATTTACAGAGCTGTGTGATTTAATTTAAAACTTTTATCTTCATTTTGGTATTATGGAATATATATGGCATCAATTGTCAACTACAAGCTCCTTTTACTGCTCTTACACTGTTCGTTATTGTCTCACACTCGTGTTATAACGAGATCTAAATTGGATTTATAGATGTGATAAACTGCTGCTGATGGGATGCTACTGTGGTTTACTGCACTTTTCAATCAGGCATTTCAGAGGAGCATTTTAGAAAACATGGCTATTTTGTGAAACTGAAGCTGTAAATGCTCTGTAAAGAAAGTGTGTATTTGTTGCCTTTTCAGACGTTTCAGTCTCAGCTGTACTTTGAAGGATCTTACTCATAAAGCTACATAATTTCACACAAGCTTTCATACATACATTTTTCTTTAGTAAAAATGCTTTTATTCACCCAATTCAGGCAAAGTGTTTCTTCTTCATATTTTTGCATCATTGCAAAACATTCTCTATCCTTACTGTTTCTTTATCCTCTGTGAAATGGAAAGAATGTTTTAAGTTAGTGTGTCTGAGATAAAATTTCTCATCTTTGTAATAACAGATAGTTTCACAAGCAGATAGTCCACAGCCTGCCTGCAATGAACAGGGGCATCCTTAACTAGACCAGGCTGCTCAGAGCCCCATTCAACCTGACCTCTGGATGTTTCCAGGCATAGGGCATCTACCACTTCTCTGGGCAGCCTGTGCCAGTTCCCCCACCCTCACCACAAAAAAAATTCTTCATAAAGTATGTACTGAGCACGACATCACCTCTCAGCTTTGTCTACAGAGTGATACAGCTTAATACAGCCACAATTTCAGAAGCTTGTTTGGATATGTCCAGGATAGGTTAAAGATGATGTTGTGGCTCTGCTCCTGTGAGGTCTTGGCTGTACTAAATCTATCCATTAATAAAAGAGAGCAAATCATACAACTCCCCTAATGTGCAATATAATCATTGTTCCCCTTTGCTTTTTTTATACAGAGCAGAAACTGTGCCATCTTCCGTTCCCTGAGGAATTGTAATGAGAATGTGGGAGAGCTTAGATCTAGATTCTCTTCCAACAGAATTAATATACATCTCAAGAAACGGTCTCTTTCCTTACAGCCTGGGGTCTGTTATTATAATTCTGACTTGGTATCTCCAGACACATTTTTTCCAAATCAGCAGCTTTACATCTGTTACTACCCCTGCTAGAACTTTTCCAAGAAGGGGAGAGAGAGGATAGTTTCCATACCCCACCTCTGCAGTAAAATGAAATTAATCATCCCTGTATTTTGAATGCAGGGCAGAGACTCAATGCACAATCTGAGGTAGTGTGAGCATCCTTTCACAAATCACATGGCACATGCTGTACCATCAGGGACCTGCTGAGCACAAGGACCTTTTAGAAATTCCAGCCTGCATCTGAACAGGCAGAGTGTTTTGAGGGATGATGTCCTCCTTGTACAAAACTTAGTCATGCAATTGCCTAGGCCTGACACAGGGGCAGCCAGGAGGTCAGAGATGGGAATCTTGAAAGGAAAACCAGGACAACCAAGGTGAGGATCTTGAGGGTAGTGCCTTGGCTGCTTTCCATTCCAAAGGTGTGCCTCAGGCAGTAGCAAACTGGAGGAGCTGAAAGCACCCTGGCAGTGCCAGGGAGAGGAGGAAATGGGAGCAACAGCTGCTAAGACCTGTCAGCCAAAGCCAAAAGATGGGGAGAGCTTGAAGGCACCAGTAACAGCTGCTGAGTCAGCAGCCACAGCGACTGGGTGTAAAGTTTGGTCCAGCCCCTGTGGCCTCTCTCCCTGTCCCCTCCATTTTCCTGGGACAGGAAGGAGGGCAGGATGGTCATGGCGAAAGTGAGAGAGAGGGAGCAGCCTTCCTACAGCCTCCTTTGTGCCTGCACTGCAGCTTCAGCACCATAGGCAGGACAAGCAGGGCTATGCTATGTGTGACTCCTGATCTGCATGAGCTGCCCACTCACTGACTTGCTCTGCACCACCCAGGCACAGACAGGATTTGGGGAATGCTGCAGCATTTCCAGGGGAGCTCAGCAGACACAATTTCTTTAACGGTTTATATTTGGGGTTTTAGGCACCTGCAGAACTTACATTAGCTGGGCTAATGTTACGGTTTTGGGAGGGAGGAGTAGGGTTAGTGAATCTTGGGTTTAGAGCTTTTTTAAACGTGCAATCATGTTGGCTCTTTTGTCATAGCTGCCAAATAAAAGTCCAAAAGGCAAAGGCCTTCTGAAAAACATCAAGTGTTTGGATGCACTGCTTACTCAACCAGCCTCTAGTTGCAAGAGTCTAATTACCAGGCATTACTCCCAAAGTTTACACTGGGACAGAGTTTTCTATTTACAGGCAGTTTATCTTTAGAATACAGATAATAGCTAAAATTTAGAGAATGTAAAGTGTAGCTGATAGTCACAGCTTCACAGCACAAGATGTGTCAGCAACACTGGTGTTCTGACTACAAGTGTAATGATTTCCCTGATTATCCCAGCACCAGTAAAAAAGAGGGGGGCAGTTCTGGTCTCTCTATGCAGTGTTTCTGAGAAGGGAAGAATGTCCCATGTTTTCATCAAACTTACCTCAGGATGCACATAAATTCATTGATTGTCTCTCCAGAATTTTTCCTCGGCCTCACTGAGCAGGTGAACAAGCCACCACTCCTTCAGCATGATGAAGATCTTGTTCAACCCACAATTCAAAAAATCCCAACAAATAAACAAAACTACATAGAAGAGCACATGCAGAGAAAAGGACTAGGAAGCATCTCTAAAAGCAGTTACAAAAACAGATCTCCAACTACATCTTAATCTGAATTACTGGAATTAGTATTCATCCTCCCTAGAACCAACCATATCAGCAGGAAATGAGATGGTTTTCCAACTACATGGACATCTACAACTGGTAGAGGATTTCAGATGAAACCACCATCTTTCAAGCATTATGTAAGGAAGATTTTCCAATCTCACCTCCAAGCAGGTGGGCAATGAATGTTCAGTCACCAAATGTTCAGTCCATAATGACAATCATGTAAAGAAAAGGATTCTTGTCCGTCCATGAAGATGCAGGTAAGTTAAGATCTGCAGCATACTTTTCTCCTAGCATTAAATCCTGTTAGTCTTACAACCTGTGTTAAGGATCAGTAAACCTTTGCTAGGATTTGAAAACAACTAAGCTATGTTACAGTTACTTGATAAAACCCGTTCACTGTAGAAGGGGTATCTCAGTGCCAAATAATTTGCTTATTGAAATGCCATTCATACAACTTTATAAAAAAAGTTACCTATGCAATCAATTTGAGGAGGTCAGATTTTAAAAGCCTGCAGGGTGCTGTACTGATTATCATTGTCTGTTCATCATCTTGTATCCCGCTGCCAATCATAACTCTTGTTTATGTAATACCTAAGAGAAAACACAAGAAGCATTTTTAAATATCCTCCTCCACTTCAGCAAAATCCCATTGTTTTATCACTAGACTGTTGGCTAGAAATTAGAATTTGTATTATCAGTTGCCTCTCCAAAACCATGAAAAAAATTAACTGCAAACAAAATTAACTCTACAGCTACAGGTTAAGCCATCCTTCTCCAGCCAGCTAGTTCTTGCAATTGCTACCGAGATTCTCCTTTCAATTTTAAGAAATACTGTGAATAGTATGTCTTTCTAAATAAAATTTTCAACCAGAAACATTTTGCAACCCTAAAAATATATTTAATTTATGATTTAGTTTGGAAAGAAAGATATGCGTTTCCCAGACCATTTTCCCATAGCCAAGAGAGTAGATCTAAAGATAAAGGAATAAAAAAATTAGGTGAATTTGTTACTCTTTTTTCTTCCTCTACTCACAATATCTGTTCTGTCTGAGTACATGTCCAAGGTGAAGTATTTGGGATCTTTATTTAGCTGAAAATGAATCCTCCTCTTAGAGGGTGTTGCAGCCAGCTCAAATGTCCTCTCATTGTCAAACATACACTGATAGTGCTGAACTAAGCTAAAAATTATACATACTAGCTAAATATGACATTTTTAAGTTTAAAGGAAAATGCAAATTTTTTTTCAGAAAGAAAAACATAATATTCAAGTTCAACAACTGCACATTCTGATTTAAGTATAATGTCTGTTATACTTGGATCAGATGGAGTTACACAGCAGAAAGTATTGCTATCAAATTAGGACACAAAAATCACACAGAAGAAAATATTCATAAAAACCTGGATTTTTCATGGTATGCGCCCATGTTCCTTTTCCACTGAGTCCCTGACAATTCAGTCACCAATTGCTAACCTTGGCTGCCAGCAACTTCCTTTCCTAACAGCATTTAGCTGCCAGCTCTGAGAATAGCACCTGCAGCCTGAGTTCTGTAGAGTCCCTCATTAGCTAAGCCCAGTTACATCTGGTTCTTAATGACCCTTGAGAGTTACCATCTATTTTTATGAAGTATAAAGTATGGTAAAAAACTATCTAGATACTAATTCAACAAATAAATCCAAAAGAGAGAGATTCTACAGATAATTCTAAATAGATAAGTTATAAATACTAGGAGATAATAGATACTAATAGATAAATTCTAGATAGGCAAATTTCTAAATACTAACAATAAAATGCTAACAAATACATGAATTCTAAATAGAAGCCAGATTAATTCTAAATAGCTACTTTCTCCTTAAAAAATTATTTTACATGTTGACATAGAAAATATCTCCCTTACATCCATATTCCTCACAGGCCACTTTCTCTAATAGGATGGTGACTTGAAAGGATTTATTTATTACTGGAGCTGGGTTGCAGGAGCTGTGCTGAGCTCTCCCAGTCCACACCAGCACAATTTCACTTCCCAGACACCTCCCCCTGCCCCCAGGCTCTGTTTTGGTGAATGGGCAAGGCAGACTGTCCTCACTTTTAGGGGCTGCCACACATCCTGAGAAGCAAAAGGTGGAGGATTTAACCTAAGTGCAACCCTTTGCTGAGGAAGGTGGCCCCAAGCCTTCCTTCAAGGGAGAAGCCAATAGCTGCCAAAAGAAAGGAAAAGGACTGGGTCTTACGTTAGTGATCAGAAATTCTGGATTTTAAGCAGTTTGGCCTAATACAGCCAGGCAGACCTGGCCTCTGTTGCCTTTGTCCGGCCAATGCCTGGTATAAACGCCATTATTTTATAGCAAGCTTTTCCATATATTCTCTGATTTTCCCCAAAAATATTTCCAAAATGGCAACGTGTGGGCTTGGAGGGAAAAGGTGAGGGGGCAACAAAAAATTCCTCTTGAAGGAAAAACATTTTTAACTAGATCACAAGCCATGTTTGCCAAGTCCTAAGGAACAATGGCATGAGAATTTCAGATGTACTTACCCTCACCACAGGCACTGGTAAAGTCATGCCTGCTATCCCATCACTGACAAGCACTTCCAAAAATGTTCAGCACAGCAATTTTTGGGACCACCAGTTGACAGCAGTTCAGTGCTGCTCTTTCTCTTGCATCTGCCCTGGAGGACAACTCTGTTATCCTGGTTTACCAGGAGCTCTTCAGCCCACCTCCTGGGATCCATCTGGAATATTCAGCCATGCAGAAACATGGGGTTCATTCACTAAGGTTTTCTCAGGCAAAACAATTCAGGATATCACGAAACAGTTTGGGTTGAGAAGGGACCTTAAAGATCCTTGAGTTCCTTCCCCCCAAAAGGAGGGGGGATATCCACAAGACAGACTTGGCTTTTTGAGGGAATGTATGAGAACAGAGTGGCTGTTTCCACACTGAATTCTACTTCTGGCAGTACTCCAATCACAACTTGCTTCCCAGTCCTTCTCTCAGCTTTGTCAGCATACAGAAGGGACTGCATCTGAACCACGGCAAAAAGTGAACAACCTGCTTCAAAGTAAAGCAAAAGGGAAAAACAGTCAGCTGAGAGAACTGCTTTCACAAGATGGTAAGGAGCCATTCTGGACCCAAACTTGGGAATTGGAAGTGCTTGTCTGTGATATCTGCAACTTCTACATCTGGTATAAAATCATCCACTACCACCATTTAAAATATTTTTCCTGAACATTAATAGCAGTATTGAACATATTCAGGGTAAGCCTGCCATGTATAAGAGAAGAGAGCTGCAGGAAGGGTATTTGCTTCAACTCATGGTCTCAACCCACCAAAACTCCAGGGAA